TGGAAATGCTCCCGGTGGAATTTGCTCTCCAGGTGCTGCCGGATCTCGTCCTCGAAAAACGTCCGGAATTTACAGAGAGAGCACACGAACTGGATCCTGGAAAACGGGGAAAACAACGGGAAAAAAACGGGAAAAAACGGGAAAAAACGGGGAAAAAACGGGGAAAAAACGGGGAAAAAACCGGGGAAAAACCGGGGAAAAACCGGGGAAAAAACCGGGGAAAAAACCGGGGAAAAAACGGGGAAAAAACGGGGAAAAAACGGGGAAAAAACGGGGAAAAAACGGGAAAGAAACGGGAAAGAAACGGGAAAGAAACGGGAAAGAAACGGGAAAAAAAACGGGAAAAAAACGGGAAAAAAAACGGGAAAAAAAACGGGAAAAAAACGGGAAAAAAAACGGGAAAAAAAAACGGGAAAAAAAACCGGGAAAAAAAACCGGGAAAAAAAAACCGGGAAAAAAAACCGGGAAAAAAAACCGGGAAAAAAACGGGAAAAAAACGGGAATGGGGAGGGGGAAAAATTAGAAAAAAAAAGTGAAATAATGCCTTAAAAACTGGGGGAAAAAATCACTAAAAAGTGAAAAAAATTTCTTGAAAACCGGGGGAAAATCCCGAAAAAAGTGAAAAAAAATCTCTTAATAACTGGGGAAAAAATTCTTAAAAAAGTGAAAAAAATCTCATAAAAATTGGGGAAAAAATACCGAAAAAATGAAAAAAAAGCCTTAAAAACTGGGGGAAAAATCCCTGAAAAATGCCTTAAAAACTGGGGTAAAAAATCCTAAAAAACTGAAAAAATCTCTTAAAAAATGCCTTAAAATTGGGAAAAAAGTCCCTAAAATATTGAAAAAACACCTTAAAAATCCCTAAAAAAGTGAAAAAACGCCTTAAGAGCTGGGAAAAAAAAATCCCTAAAAAAGCGAAAAAAAATCTCTTAAAAACTGGGAAAAAAATTCCTAAAATATTGAAAAAATCTCTTGAAAACTGGGGAAAAAATCCCTAAAAAATTGAAAAAAATCTCTTTGAAAACTGGGGGAAAAAATCCCTAAAAAAGTGAAAAAATGCCTTAAAAAACGGGAAAAAAATCCTGAAAAAAATGAGAAAAAAAATCCCTAAAAAAAGCAGAAAAAAATGCCCTAAAAATTGGGAAAAAATCCCGAAAAAAGTGAAAAAATGCCTTAAAAACTGGGGGAAAAATCCCTGAAAAATGCCTTAAAAACTGGGAAAAAAATCCCTAAAAAATCGAAAAAACGCCTTAAAAACTGGGGGGAAAATCCCTATAAAAGTGAAAAAACGCCTTAAGAGCTGGGAAAAAAAATCCCTAAAAAAGCGAAAAAAAAAAATCTCTTAAAAACTGGGAAAAAATCCCTAAAAAAATCGAAAAAAACGCCTTAAAAATTGGGAAAAAAAATCCCTAAAAAATTGAAAAAATGCCCTAAAAACTGAGAAAAAAAAATCCCTAAGAAAGTGAAAAAATCTTTTAAAAACTGGAAAAAAAATCTCTTAAAAATTGGGAAAAAAATCCCTAAAAAATCGAAAAAAACGCCTTAAAAATTGGGAAAAAAATCCCTAAAAAATCGAAAAAACGCCTTAAAAACTGGGGGAAAAATCCCAAAAAAATGGGGGAACCCCTAAAAAAGGAAAGAATTCCCAAAAAAGGGGGAATATTGCCAGGAATGCCAGGGTTTACCTCTCCACCATCCGGTCCCGGTGCCGTTTCTTTTGGCGCTCCTGGGATTTCCTGGCGGCCGGGAGCTTCTGCCGCAGCTCCTCGGGGAGGCCCAGGGCTCCTGGAAAAACGGGAATTCTGGGAATTCTGGGAGTTCTGGGAGTTCTGGGAATCTCCTCGGCAATCCAAACCAAAATATCAAAGAGTTCAACCCAAAAATCCCGGGAATTCCAGCCCCAAATCTCCAGAATTCCAATCCCAAAATCCCGGGAATTCCAGCCCCAAAATCCCAGGAATTCCAGCCCCAAATCTCAGGGAATTCAACGAAAAATCCCGGGAATTCCAGCCCCAAATCTCCAGAATTCCAATCCCAAAATCCCAGGAATTCCAGCCCCAAATCTCAGGAATTCCAGCCCCAAATCTCAGGAATTCCAGCCCCAAATCCCAGCAAATCCAGCCCCAAATCCCAGCAAATCCAGCCCCAAATCCCAGGAATTCCAATCCCAAATCCCAGGAATTCCAACCCCAAAGCTCAGGGAATTCAACAAAAATCCCGGGAAATTCAGCCCCAAATCCCGGGAATTCCGGCCCCAAAATCCCAATAAATCCAACCCCAAATCCCAGGAATTCCAGCCCCAAAATCCCAATAAATCCAAATCCCAATAAATCCAAACAAAAATCCCGGGAAATCCAACCCCAAATCTCAGGAATTCCAATCTCAAATCCCAGGAATTCCAATCCCAAATTTCAGGGAATTCAACCAAAAATCTCAGGAATTCCAGCCCCAAATCCCAGGAAATCCAAGCCCAAATCCCAATAAATCCAACCCCAAAATCCCAAACATTCCAGCCCCAAATTCCAGGGAATTCAACCAAAAATCCCAGGAATTCCAGCCCCAAATCCCAATAAATCCAACCCCAAAATCCAGGAATTCCAACCCCCAAATCCCAGGAAATTCATTTTTGGGATGGTACAATCCCAGATTTTTGGGATTTTGGGAATTTCTTGGATTCAGGGAAGGATCACTCCCAGANAGAATTCCCAAAAAAGGGGGAATATTGCCAGGAATGCCAGGGTTTACCTCTCCACCATCCGGTCCCGGTGCCGTTTCTTTTGGCGCTCCTGGGATTTCCTGGCGGCCGGGAGCTTCTGCCGCAGCTCCTCGGGGAGGCCCAGGGCTCCTGGAAAAACGGGAATTCTGGGAATTCTGGGAGTTCTGGGAGTTCTGGGAATCTCCTCGGCAATCCAAACCAAAATATCAAAGAGTTCAACCCAAAAATCCCGGGAATTCCAGCCCCAAATCTCCAGAATTCCAATCCCAAAATCCCGGGAATTCCAGCCCCAAAATCCCAGGAATTCCAGCCCCAAATCTCAGGGAATTCAACGAAAAATCCCGGGAATTCCAGCCCCAAATCTCCAGAATTCCAATCCCAAAATCCCAGGAATTCCAGCCCCAAATCTCAGGAATTCCAGCCCCAAATCTCAGGAATTCCAGCCCCAAATCCCAGCAAATCCAGCCCCAAATCCCAGCAAATCCAGCCCCAAATCCCAGGAATTCCAATCCCAAATCCCAGGAATTCCAACCCCAAAGCTCAGGGAATTCAACAAAAATCCCGGGAAATTCAGCCCCAAATCCCGGGAATTCCGGCCCCAAAATCCCAATAAATCCAACCCCAAATCCCAGGAATTCCAGCCCCAAAATCCCAATAAATCCAAATCCCAATAAATCCAAACAAAAATCCCGGGAAATCCAACCCCAAATCTCAGGAATTCCAATCTCAAATCCCAGGAATTCCAATCCCAAATTTCAGGGAATTCAACCAAAAATCTCAGGAATTCCAGCCCCAAATCCCAGGAAATCCAAGCCCAAATCCCAATAAATCCAACCCCAAAATCCCAAACATTCCAGCCCCAAATTCCAGGGAATTCAACCAAAAATCCCAGGAATTCCAGCCCCAAATCCCAATAAATCCAACCCCAAAATCCAGGAATTCCAACCCCCAAATCCCAGGAAATTCATTTTTGGGATGGTACAATCCCAGATTTTTGGGATTTTGGGAATTTCTTGGATTCAGGGAAGGATCACTCCCAGATTTTTCTGAATTTTGGGATGAATCATTCCCAGATTTTCTGGTTTTAGGGATGAATTATTCCCAAATTTCAGGATTTAGGAATAAATCAGCCCCAGATTTCTGGGATTTGGAGATGAAATTCCCTGGATTTTCCTTCCCTGATCCCAAATTGCTGAAATTCCCTGGATTTTCCTGGGAAAACCCCTGGGAATTCCTGAAATTTCCCCTTGGAATTCCCAACTCACCTTTCTCGGAATCTCTTCCCTCTTCATCCTCCCCTTCCTGAAAAACCAAAAAAATTTGGGGAATTTAAAACCCCTTGGAATGAAATTCCAGGAGTTTCTCCCTCTGGAATTTCCCTCGGATTTGGGTCAAGAATCCCAAATTTTGGGGGATTTTCCCAATGAAATCTCTCAGAGGCCACAATTCCCTGGAATTCCCAAATTTCCTATGGAAAATTCCACTTCCAGCCCCTCCCCCAAGCAAAACTTTCCTGGAATTTACCCAAAATCCCAGAATTCCCTCCCTCAGATCCCCCAAATCCTTCAGGAATTCCCAAAAATTCCAGGATTTCCCCTCACTCACCCCCCTGGATTCCTCCTTTTCTCCGGATTCTCCTTCCGTGCCTTCCTCTGGAATGAAAAAAAAACCCAAAAATTTGGGATGAATTCTGGATTTTTCAGCTGGAATTCCAGGATTCAGGCTAAAAAATCGGGAATTTGGGATAAATCCTGGGATTTTTAGTTGGAAATCTGGGATTCAGGCCCCAAAAATCAGGAATTTGGGATAAATCCTGGGATTTTATAGTTGGAAATCCAGGATTCAACCCCAAAACTGGAAAATTTAGGATAAATCCCGGGATTCTTCAGCTGGAATTCCAGGATTGAGCCCCAGAAAATTGGGAATTTGTGCTGAACCCCGGAATTTTTAGTTAGAAACGTGGGATTGAGCCCCAAAAATTGGGAATTTGGAGTAAATCCTGGAATTTTTTAGCTGGAATTCCAGGATTGAGCCCCAAAACTGGGGAATTTGTGCTGAACCCCGGGATTTTATCAGAATTCTGGGATTGAACCCCAGGATTTTATCAGAATTCTGGGATTGAACCCCGGGATTTTTATTTATAATTTTGGGATTGAGGCCCAGGATTTTAATTGGAAATCTGGGATTGGGGCCCAGGATTTGATCAGAACTGTGGGATTTGATCAGAATTCTGGGATTTGATCAGAATTGTGGGATTAATTAGCTCAGAAGTGTGGGATTAATTAGCTCAAAATTGTGGGATTAATTAGCTCAGAACTGTGGGATTAATTAGCTCAGAATTGTGGGATTAGCTCAGAATTGTGGGATTAATTAGCTCGGATTTGTGGCGTTAATTAGCTGGGATTTGAGGCATTAATTAGCTCGGATTTGTGGCGTTAATTAGCTGGGATTTGAGGCGTTAATTAGCTGGGATTTGA